CTCTCACAGCAGCTTCCAAGTTCTCCTCGCAGTCACCTGTAAAACTGCAAAGGAAAACTTTTCCAGGGTTATAGGCGGCTGTATGGAAGAGGAAGGAGCCAAAAACCACTCCTTCTGTGAGCTTGTTTAAGGGTTCGATCTCACTGACAGAAAAACCCAGATGTACTGGGTTATACTGGGTGGAAAATGACACATTTAAGCGCACACACAAGGCACATGCACATGTGGACTTGCCAGAGGTCTGTTTGTTTGGGGGCAGATGTGGAATTGATTCCTTGGATCGGTGCCATGCCTGGAATCGAGGAAAGGCTGCAAAGCCAAATCTCCCAGCTGGGATTGCTGGGGAGGAGGTGTCTTCCCAGATGGGGGTTTTGGCTCCACTCTTTCTCTGGCTTCCCAGACAGAGCCAGTCAGCTCCCTGCCTGTGAGACCTCAAACAGTGATTCAGAACCACATGACTATCGGGTGGTTTTTTGATCACTGTCATTTGCATCGCTGCCTACAGCGATGCAAGTGGACAATGTAGATTCCTTCTAAATTAAGTTAAATTATCTTCGAAACTCTATGTAAATTTAATCTGTGAGTAATGGGATTAAATGGGCATTGGATGTAGTCTCCTCTCTTAAGTACATCTGCCTTAATGCTAGAAGGGTGACTTGCCTGGGAACCATATTTATCCTGCTGTCAGCACTTTGAGGGAAGGTGATAAATTGATTGTTTGGCAGGAGGAGGAGGAAAAGAAGAAGAATCCACTCCATTTCAAGTTGTGAATTTATAGCCTTTAAGACAATATGTCTTAAGATTTTATTGACTATATGCTTGGTTTTGTATGTATAATATTAAATTTTCTTTAGCATTTGTTCTTGATCTTTTGAAATGGCCGATCATTTATCCAGTTCTTTAAGGTGTACAAGTATTAAAATTGCCATTTATTTCTACTAAATTTACATGAGGGAGTTAAGAGAGAGTTCTTTTTTCACAGCCAGTGGTACATTGTGAAACAGGGCTGTGTCCTCGCACCAACACTTTTTGGGATCTTTTTTGCTGTCATGCTGAAGCATGCCTTTGGAGCTGCAACCGAGGGCGTCTATCTCCGGACTAGATCAGACGGAAAGCTCTTTAATCTCTCTAGATTGAGAGCGAAGACCAAAGTCCAACTGAAATGCATGCGGGACTTCCTCTTCGCAGATGATGCAGCCATTGTTGCCCACTCTGCTGAAGACCTCCAGCAACTCATGAATCGTTTCAGCAAGGCCTGCCAAGACTTTGGACTAACAATCACCCTGAAGAAAACACAAGTCATGGGCCAGGGCGTGGACTCACCTCCCTCTATTACCATCTCCACACAAGAATTGGAGGTTGTTCATGACTTTGTGTACCTCGGCTCAACCATCTCTGACACCCTCTCTCTAGATGTCGAGCTGGATAAACGCATTGGGAAAGCAGCCACCATGTTCTCTAGACTCACAAAGAGAGTATGGCTCAATAAGAAGCTGACAACACATACGAAGATCCAGGTTTAGAGAGCCTGTGTTCTAAGCACACTCCTGTACTGCAGTGAGTCATGGACTCTTTGTGCACGGCAGGAGAGGAAGCTGAACACCTTCCATATGCGTTGCCTCCGACGGATTTTTGGCATCACCTGGCAGGACAAAGTTCCAAACAGAGCAGTCCTAGAACGAGCTGGAATTTTCAGCATGAACACATTACTGAAACAGCGACGTCTACGTTGGCTCGGGCACGTCGTGAGAATGGCTGATGGTCGGATTCCAAAGGATCTCCTCTATGGAGAATTAGTGCAGGGAAAGCGCCCCAGAGGGAGACCACAACTGCGATACAAGGACATCTGCAAGCGAGATCTGAAGGCCTTAGGAATAGACCTCAACAGATGGGAAAACCTGACATCTGAGCGTTCAGCCTGGAGGCAGGCGGTGCATCACGGCCTCTCCCAATTTGAAGAGACCCTTGCCCAGCAGACCGAGGCAAAGAGGAAGTCACAAAAGCAGCAAAACCAGGGAGCCGGACAGGGGACAGACTGGATTTGTCTTCAGTGTAGAAGGGACTGTCACTCTTGAATTGGCCTTCTCAGCCACACTAGGCGCTGTTCGAAGCCCTCCATACAGAGCACGCTACCATAGTCTTTCGAGACTGAAGGATGCCTAACTAACTATGGGTACATTTCCTGAATGTACAGAGTTTAGAACTAAAACTGCTCTGTGGCACAGTCAGAGCTTAGAAAAGTTTTTTTATGGCCTATGGCCCCCAGAACCCCTTTCCCTGGCCATGTGGCCATGTTAGTATAAATCTCCTGTGAACTGTAGCAGGAAAAAGGCACTTTTCTGAGCCCTGGACCAAGCCAAGAGTTCTAAATTTTGTATAGTCAGGAAGCATGGGTGTGATGATCCTAACAGCTACTACCTTCAGGAAAATGTCTGTCCGTGGTCTTGGCTGCAGTTTTCTATGTTGCATTAAACATGAACAAATCCTGTTGAATTCAGTGGAGCTTACTTTTGAGTAGCTGCGCATAGGAATGGGATGGTATTGTACTGTTTGGTTTTTGTGATGTACTATTAATTTCTTGATCCACTGGCATTACACTATTCTACATGGTTGATGGTTTTGTAATATGTAGTGCATTCTAACCCTTTTAGTGATTTTAACATTATATTCTTCCACTAATAGAATAAAAAAGCTGTGTTCTGTGTGTAAAATGTGAGGATAAACTTGAGATCTTTTAATTCTGGCCTTCAGCGGGTGTGTGACCTTTTGGTTTTATCTCCCCTCCCTCTCCCTCCCTCTTTTTCTCCTTTCCCCCCTTCTTCTTACTATATTGCAGTCAGAGAGGAAGTTAAACCTAGGTTTGACAGGTAGAGTTTTTTATTTCCCATGACAGTGCACCTCTTGACCTCTATCTTCTTGCCAATGATTTTTTAAATCCTAAATGATTTGGGAATAATTGCTCCTCCTTTAGTGATTATTGCCCTTCACCGATAGTAAATCTGTGAAATCCCTGGGGGCCGGAGTCCATTTTTGTATGCGTATGCCACAAGCTGGCCTGGATAGGCACTGCTGCTCATGTGCAGCTGCCCTTTCAGTGTGGATGGTCTTCTTCCATGGCAACTTCAGCCCAGGCAGAATGAAATACTTCATCTGTAATCAAACATCTCAGTTAATTGCTGCATGGGGGATTTGAATCCTCTTCAGTCCCCTGTTTTGAAGAAGCTTTCCTCACTGCTTTCATAAACCACGGGGAAATGCTTTTTCCTGAAACCATGGATTGCAAATAGGTATTGGCACCTGCTCTTATGAAACAAAGCTCGGAATGGATCCTGCTAAGCCATGTTTGGCAAGTCACAGTGATGAGATGGCTTTTGGAATGTATTTAATTGGAAATGTTTGCATTGATCCAGCAGCAGCATATGAACATTCAGGCATTAACCCAGTGTGCTGTTTATGCCTCTGAAGTACACAACTTCCTATGAAATCCAATGAAATCTGCATCTCCTCTGTGGTAGAGATAAGGATACCTACAAACGCTGCTGCATCATTCTTGCCTACTACTGTTAATTCCAACTGACACCAGTTAGAAATAATTTCTCACCAGCTAGAAACCATTATTCAAAAAAGAAGGGAAAAAAGGACTGCGTGCTGATATGTTCTGAGAGTTTTCACCCCCTGATCAGCAGGGATATCCTCTTGGGATTGGAAATAGCTCATATGCCAATTCACAATGCAGTATGAGACAGTCACAAAGGTTGGAAAAGTTACGTTTTGCACTGTTACCCCCATAATCCTTAATTGGCATGGCCAGTTCCATATTGCTTGGATTGTTGTTGTTGTTTAGTTTATTTTGGGAGGTCCAAATTAGCATTTCCAAGCTAATTCAAGTCCCATTTTTTTGTTTACCCAACTGCACTGCCTCAGATCTTCCATGAGTTCTGCAATCAGTGCTTGATTGTTGGCAGTATTGCTCTGTAACACTAAAGGAATGGTGGAAACAGTACAACACCATGTAGGCTTGGTAGGAACAGAAGAAAAATGTAGTGCAATAAACAGCTATTCCAATAGCTGTTGTGAAGAATTGGATGATGCCCTGCCTAGTTTCATGTCCACACTCAATGGGATTGGGAGTTGACCCTTCCTTCAGTACAGAAGATGGAGCACTGTAGACCCATGGACTTTGAAGACTGCAGACCAGCTTAGGAGGAGCAAAGCAGACCGTGGCACACATGGCCTTTTTCTTTAGCACCTTTCTGCCCCCTCCCAGAATCTGCTGCCTAAGGCAACTGCCTTGTATTGCTAAATGGTTAGGCTGGTCCTGATGATGAAACTGTAAATTTCAAGCAATTCATTTTAAAAAGACATATCAGAACATCTTGAAATTTCAGCATACCCCCTGAATTGTGTCTAAAACACATTGACTGTTATGATAGTTTTTAAATCACCTGGACATTTAGTCTTTGACTGTGGCGCTGCAGGTTAAACCGCAGAAGCCTCTGTTCTGCAAGGTCAGAAGACCAGCAGTCATAAGATCGAATTCACGCAATGGAGTGAGTTCCCATCGCTTGTCTCAGCTCCTGCCAACCTAGCACTTCGAAAGCATGTAAATGCGAGTAGATAAATAGGTACCACCTCGGTGGGAAGGCAATGGAGTTCCATGTCTAGTTCCGCTGGCCACGTGACCACGGAAACTGTCTTCGGACAAACACTGGCTCTATGGCTTGGAAACAGGAATGAGTACCATCCCCTAGAGTCAGACACGACTGGACTAAATGTCAAGGGGAACCTTTACATTTATAGAGTCCTTGTAGGTGGAGGCTGAGTTACAGTTGAGGTGGATTGACCTTTAATCAATATGGGGATAATATTATCTTGTTTAATTTGTATGATGGCTGTATTAAACATCAAATCTAGCCATTTATTATGTCAGGGAAGATGGAGTAGGACAGCAGTTAAATGCATTTGACATCACTTCTCTCTATATTTCATCGCTTTGACAGGCCATCATGATTGGGGATGATATTGTAAATGATGTAGGAGGTGCCCAGCGATGCGGTATGACAGCTCTGCAAGTACGGACTGGGAAGTACAGGCAAGTACATGTTAAATGTACCTTATAGCCCGTGTAGATACATAGATATGGCAAAAACAAGATGTCTCAGTCAGCTGTGATATGCTTTCACTGCTGTCATTCCCTGCATGGATTTATTGCAGAGAAATTAAAGTATTTCATTTTGTGAAGTGCAATTTTGTGATGTGTTTGTTGCATGTCCTGTCCTTCTAGAATTGGGACTCTGGGTGGTTTACAGTAAGAGTTTAAAAAAAACAACAGGTATGCATAAAAATGCAAAGTTACAATGTTAAAACACAATTCTAATGTTTGCATGCCACCATTAAAAGCAGTGTAAAAGCACATTATTAAATAAATACAGCATCCATGGGTTAAAGGCTTCTCTCTTTTTTAGCAGCTAGTCAGTTGCTAGAAGCCTGTTGAATTGTTTTGGTTTGCTATTAGACCGACAGCTGGCAGGAAAGCAAGTCCATATGCTAAGACTTGCTTTGGTTAAAGATCAATGTGTGTGATATGTTCACTCCAAAACATCTTAAAGTTTTAGGATCCAAACATCTGCAGGCAAAGTCTCTTGATGATAAAGATATTAGAACATCCCTTTGAAGAAATGGCATCCATCCCTGCCTGCTGATTCTGGATCAAACTAGATTGTTAGGAAAATGTGTATTCCCAGCAATTTGTCTGTTTTTCTTCATACAGTGGGATTCCACCCCACCCCAAAATAAATGTTTTATCAATCAGCAAGTTGCAAACAGAGTCCTTTTTAAAAACTTTCTAATGACAGTTCACAAACCATTCTATAAGCAAGATGCATAGGTGAGGGCAACAATATGCTATGATAAATGGATGTTTTTAACCATTTGAGGGAGTACCTCTTCCAAAAACTCGCTAAATATATTTTATAGTTTGACCCTGAGTTCTAAAACACCTCTTCCATATTGGCTCCAGAACCTTGGATTTTTCTGCAAAGTCCTATTCCATGCTGAGTTTGTAGCTATTGATGAAAAGCTTGTCTGTTTTGTTGTGAACCAAATAAATATAGTTACAAACATTATACAGTAATTGTAATAGTAAACATTTAAGTGCTCCTTTGGATCCAAATTTTGTTCTTTCTCCTCAAAGGTGGAAACTTCTCTTTTGAGATAACTCTTGGTCCTTGGTCCCTACTAATCCAGGCTTTACAAAATATTTCCCATAAAACCTCATATAATACTTGCTTTTACTCGGTCTATGCTTCAGTAAAATGTTTTGTTTCTATATAGAAACCCCACCCCTACTATTATTTTACTGATAGAGGCATAACATTATTTTGAATGTGGTGAAGAAGGTCAGGAAGAAGCCATCCATTTCTGATAGAGAGCTTCTTCTCTATTCTCTATTGCCAATAAATTGAAAATCATTCAAAGCTATCAAGCTTTGGAATGCACTGCCCCATAAGTCAAATTGCCCCCCTCCCTCTTGTTCTTTTGTCATCAGACAAAGACTTTCTTTTTCAGGCAGCCTTTTAAATAATAAGTGGGGGTTTAGAGAACACTCTTATTTGTAAAATTCAGATATTTTAAAATATTTTTAAATGTTTTAGATTTAGTTTTAATATTGACCAGTGCTTAATTGTTTTTAATATATACTATTGCGCGGTATTTTTGATTTGCTGTTCTTGTATTTTTATTTTAATTCTTGTGAGCTGCCTTAGGTCCCCTATTTGGGGAAAATGGCATATAGATAATCTAAATAAATAATTGCCCTCTGACTGATAACTTATCATCATCATTAACAGTGAATTCTGTCCTGCCTCCTGAAGCAAACAGAAAAGGAATCTGAGAACCATTCTACATGTCAACTTTCTGCATATTTGTTCCATAATGCAGTGCTAACTGGACTCCACATGTTTAAGAGAAATATTAAGGTTAACTCCCACAAATTTTGAGATTGGGCAGGGAAAATCCTTGTTTGAAATGCAGCAGAATTGTTTCCAGTAAGGTCTGCAGGGCTAGCCCAAGATACTTTGCTGCCTGAGGCAGAAAACAAGACAGCACATGCCCACCATTCAGTGTGTGAAGCCAACTAGACTGTCAGATATTCTCAAATACTGATGATGGTGCAATTTCCTTTGGATATGAAGGTGCCAAGCTAGCCTAGGAATAGCCTGTGTAGTTACTTGGTTCTCTCCTTCAATATATTGCTGCTGCCTCCCAAGATTTGGCACCTAAGGTAAACACTTCTCAAGTCAAGACCCCACTGTACTTGGTTCTCTCCTTCAATATATTGTTGCTGCCTCCCAAGATGTGGCACCTAAGGTAAACACCTGGGCTTGAATGTAGATCAGCAGTGAGGAACATATGGTCTTCCAGCTGCTGTTTGACTACAACTCCTTTCGCCTTGTCCAGCATAGGTAATGACAGACCAGGAAGATCTGGAGGGCCACACACTCTCCATTCCTGAGGTGGATATTACTGTCCTAACAGACCAGCAGTTTGGGCTACTTTGGGCATATCATGAGAAGACAGGATTTCCTGTAAAAGACAGCAATGCTGGGAAAGCTGGAAGGCAGCAGGAAAAGAGGAAGGATTGATTTCCTAAAAGAGACCACAGGTGTGAGCCTGCAAGAGCTCAGCAGGCCTATTGAGGACAAGACATTTTTGTAGAGCACTCATTCATAGGGTTGCCATGAGTTGGAGGTGACTTGACAATACATTACAACAGAGGCAGTTTCATATACTCCAAGTGCAGGAGGTTTCCTTCTATTTTGGAGGCCTACCTCCTCCCATGTCATGAAGGCAATAGTGCAGCTTATACAGCTGCTAGAGAGCCCATAATTGCCCTTTGGACCTTAGAAAGCTAACATGATATATAGCATCTTTATGTACTGCAGGGGCTTAGTGTGCATTGAGAGGCTTTCCAATCCTTTATATAAATGTCTGTGGGTGCATCATGGGAGATATTAAGATGAATGACCACAGTTGAGACCCCATAAACCCTTCATAGTTCCCTCAGCATTTTATGAGCCAGAAAACTGTTTTATAAAGCTTTTAATAACCACATTGTGATTAATATATTTATTACCCCTATTCCGTGCTTTTCCTACAAAGCCAATTTCAGCTTAAAATCTCCATAACACTGTGTTCTTCAGGCCTTATTTAAATTCCACACTACGGAATGTCATTGTTGCTCTCCCTTAATCTGCTCAACAGTAGTCTTATAAAGACAACAGCAATGGAATGGTTTAGAAGATCATGCTTGAATAAAGCCCACACATGCTGGAGAAACAGTCATGACCCACTACATCTACATGTTAGATGTAAGAGTTATTCCAAAGGAGTAGTGTGGATTGGCCTTAGCACATACAGGACGCTGAGTTTTGCAATCTTCGGACCTTTAACAACACAGAACATGGTCATACGTATCTTGCCCATGTTGGTCTGCAGGAGCCCAGATCATGTGCAGTCCTAATACTTAAGGACTGTCTGTCTGGTATACCTGAAATAAGGACAGACGTACCTCAGAAGTAGAGCAGGTGGCTGTAATTTCCTCTCCCACTGCACATTGAAAGCCAGTGTGGTGTACTGGTGACAACATTGGCTAGAGATTTAATAGATCCTGGTTCTAATCTAGCACTGATCCATGCATCTCTCTCTCTGATCTCGCTGTCACTCTGTCTTAGCTTGGCGTATCTCACAGGGTTGTTGCGAAGATGAAGTGATAGGGAAGACAATGAAATCTCAGTACACAATCTTGAGTGTATAGGAAGAAAAGCATGATATAAATATGTCATCACCATCATTGTATTCATTATCATCATTACAGGTTCAGTTGAAGTCTTGGACGGTCTGTTTCTTTCCCAATAGAGTACAGAAAACTATTGTAACTTAACCCCAAAGGAGCATTTAGCAAGGATTTGTTCTGGGGACTAGCTAGAAAGAAGTCCCAGTGTGTGTACAGAAGCACTTTTGCATAATTAGGAAACACTTTGAATTCCTATTGAAATGTGAAAGGAGATGTGATGAGAGCGATGTTTTAGCATATAGTACATAAAATGCTCAGTAAAATTCTCTAAGAACTGTAAATAAAATGAAATAACACATTGATATAATGTGAAGAAATGTACTGTATAATTTACATTCACTGGAAGCAAATCTGATTTATTTTATGTTACATTTCATGTTTTCAGAATACGTCTGTGTGCAGAATATGCTTTTGACATAACATGCATTACATTCTAGTGCCCTTAGATGGTGCCATTAGTACACTTACCAGAAGTTTGAACTGCATTAATTCCTGGTGATTCTGTCAGCTTTTGCCAAATGGAAGTAAAGCTTCAGTTCTTTATTAGATTCTGTCAAGGGGATTTTTCTAATTAAATTAAAAGTAACTTTTTATACTACAGTTCCTGGTATCTCTTACCAACGTAGCCATTGGTATTCTGGCAGTTGTTTTCCAGAAAAGTAACTTTTTTCTGTTCTAGACTCCCTAGATCAAAGATTTCAACCTTTCTAAATGTTCAGGTTAAGTTTGTTCTTTGGTACTGCTTGGGTTGTCGGAAAAGATTTTCTTCCATTTGCAAAGACTAATGTATGAGCAGAGCAAAATGTATGAAGAGGCCTGGGTTGAACACAGCATCCAGATGGAAGCAAAGAACCAACATCTGTGTTTGGGTTATATGTTCATTGGATCAAGAAGACATTACATGAGAGACAAACATTAGAGTTCTCCTAACATTTTGGCAGGCAAAGAGATGTTGTAACACTTGGGTTTAAGGCAGATAGTCCCGAAACTGGGCCAAATGTACAGCCTTCTCCTTTTCCTTCCTTTCTCCACCTTCTTCCTTTTACTTAGTGCCACCATCTTCTCTTTTTCGTCATCCTTCAAGGGAAGGAAGGCTTGCAATTCCCTCTCGTGCTTGCTGCCGGCTTGTAAAGGAAGGAGATATGTGCATGCACACATGTACACACAAAGGGTAGAGAAGGGCACAATTTACACCGATAGAGGCATTCACATACACCAGAACAATTTTAAAAATGAAT